AAAACTTGGTTGGGTTTTGAGTCCAACGGTTGAGGAAGTGGATTTGCTGAAGGGCATGGAGATCCAAAGGGATTGGCTTGGGTAGTGTCTCATAGTTAGGAATGGCAATTCCCACATGTTGTACTATGGCCGGATGGATTGGACTTTGGCCGAGGCGTGGACGGATGGATTTAAATATGGCCAATCGCGGAACATTCGTTCCTCGGCCAGCCGATGCACGGCTTGGCGCTTTCTCGATAGAGCCGTCTGGAGCAGTCTTCACTCTTTTGGTTATAACTCCTTTTCTACTTATCCAAATGAGGCCATTCCAATTGCGTTGGAAAGTTAACTCAATCAGAGCACGCAGGGAACTGGTCTTGATGAAATCCATTGAGTAGATCTTTTTCTGGGCCCTCTTAAAGTTGGTGCTTGTGCATGGAGCGGCTTGAAGTGCAAATCCTATGGTTTTGCTCCAAAATGCATCATTTCACCTGTTTAGACTCTAGACACTATAAACACAGTAAAACTACCTTTTTAGATAGAAAACCTGCCAAAAACCATTAGAAAACAATACTAAAACAGTATAAAAAGCATGTAAAATAGAGGTATATCAACTCCCCCAGACTTAGATCTTTGCTTGTCCCCAAGCAAAAAGAATCTAAATCCGTGAAAGAGGTTTGAAAACGTGGAAGCTCCCTTGCTCTTTTGAATATCCTGTGAAAGGTTCCTTTCCTGTATTCCACTATGAACATAGACAACATAAGGTTAGCTTCACATACACCCTGCAAGTTTAGCGAACAATACCAACCCAACTAGTCTCATCCAGCAATCCAAACTCTCTATTGCTAACCTCTTGCATAAATTTAAAGCGTGAATTCTTTATCAAGGGGACATCGATCAATTGAACTTGTTCTTACCCACTTGATCCTCTCCAAGATTGTCTTTAAGTGCAATGAGTTTTCCTCTCTCTTTCTCGATCAAGTGGAATATCGACCAAAAAACATGTAAAATAGAGGTATATCACCATGCAGACGGACGAGCTCGACCACTTCCACTTCCCGGAGTACATCACCACCGCTAGACAGAGCGCCGGACTGAAGGCAGCTCACGAGGACATCAGCCTCCTCCAGCGGTGTAACAAGACGCAGGACAAGATCGCCAACAAACTCAAGAAGAATGTCAGGAAGATGGCTGATCAGATCCGAGTGATGCATGATAAGTTGATTTGTGTTGCCTCAGCTTCCGGTGGAGTACAGAGGACCGCAGTCGGAGCACGACCAGCGGATCGCTCCGAGGACGAGCCTGACCACGACACCACCGTCGGTCGGCCACCACCTCCTGACCAGCCACGTCACTCTTCCTTCGAGCCGCGACAGCAAAGGAAGACGCGCCACAGAGAGCACCATACCGCGAGACCTTCCCACGCACGTGCTGACGCAGACTTGCCTTTAAGGCGATGTAGCTCCGTTTCTAGGCCGACCGCTCCGACGGATCGTCACACTCCGCCGACGAGAGCTCCACCGGACCAGTATGTGCCATTCAGCACCGATCGAGCTGCACCCTCCACCATCCCTCCATACACACAGGACATCATGCAAGACGAGCTCGACGCGATCATTCATGGCCGCCACCACTGATGCTCCACCACGACTCCACTCGACCGTTCACTACCACCACTGTATCATTCCATTTTCCCTTTTCTTTTTCTTTTATTGAGTCTGTTTAACTCTCTCTTTGGTTTACTAACGTCATTTTCTTTCTTTTGTTTTCTGTTTCACCTTGAGTCATTTTGATGTTTTCTTTGAGTCACGTTTTATTGAGTCAAATCTTGTAGGGAACTATGAACTTATCTAATGATGTTTTGCAACCATTTATGCTCTTGAATTCTTTCTATCTAGTGACCAATTTTGCAGGGTTTGTTATGCGTAAAAAGCTAGAATACCCTTTTGGTCAGACTTCTCCCTGGAATTTTCTTTTTGCAGAGATTTTGGTGAAACATCTGGTTGACTCTAATGATATTCGACCACTAATCTGACTTCAATTACTTCTCATTCGGAATGTCATAGCAGGGAAACGGACCATACACTCAGGACTACTTATTCATTTTACCACTCTCTGTTGATCCTGAGTGGTCAGCCCATTTTTGGTTGGTTTCTCACCTTGAACCTTACCTCCTTTCTTACTTCATGCACTCTGTTCTTCTATGTCATATATGCAGATATGTGCAAAAACGTCGGAGAGAAAGGTTCGACACAGCTTCCCAACCACATTCAAGAAAAGTGTTCATCTATAACACTGAGAATGGGAAATGATGGTAGAGTATGGAGCTTGGATCGATCGAACTGATGGTCATTCCTTGGAGAAGCACGGTAACACTTACAAGCTCATTGACACTAGTTCCCCTCAATCAAACAAAAAAAAAATAAAATAAAATAAAATAAAATAAAATAAAAAAAATTGAGGAAAGGAACTAATGATTCAATAAAATGTCAAGCTCGACCGAAAATCTCCAAGGAACACCACAAATCAAGGCTAATTGGGAGTTAGAGCTGTTTTGGATAAAATCCAACATACAAGGAGTTGAGGAGTGAAGTGGTCGGGAAATGTGGCTATCAACAGAACCATTCTCTCTTGTTGTTTTGTGCGATATCATGCATCTGGTAACCCTTAAACACTTAAACACTTTAACCTCACCGATAAATAAGCCTTTATGATGTTCTTGATGAGAGGTCCAAGCCAAATCTTAATGAATGTAGAGAGTTAACCAATCTGTAGCTAGATTTTCTGCAGGATGGAGGTTCATGAAGGGATCAGGAATGCGAGGCCTCAAGGGGACTATAGTGATTATGCACTGACCGAACCTTGTTCCTTCGGGGTATGGTTGCTGATGATTTGTGAGTACCCGCGTTTTCAAACCTCTTCCCTATTCTTGGAATTTATGTTTGCTTGAGGGCAAGCAAAAGACTAAGTCCGGAGGCGTTGATGTCTTGTGTTTTTGACACATTCTAACCCTTGTTTTCACGATTTTTATCGAGTCTTTCTAGTCTTTATCGAGTCTTTTCAGGTCTAAAGACGTTCCAGGGAGAGTTTTGGTCTCACGGACCAACAAGAGGAGAAAGCAGGCAAAAGAAGCTCAGGTCGATCGAACCGACGAGACGAGCATTACAAGTCGATCGATCCACTCCCTGCAGTACCGATTCGATCGACCCACACCTTGTGGTACCAAGTCGATCGACCCCATGCATGCCATGCATCGATCAATCTCAGCCGTTCGATCCGTCTCGCTCACATGACACCACAGCCGTTCGATCGACATCAATGCTAACCGTCGATCGAACCGACGCAAACCGGATTGAACCGACCCCGACCCTGTAAACTATTTAGACCTACTTTTAGCCATTGTTTCGGCTACGTCGTTTTTCGGAGTATTTTCACTGTTTCTGAGGGAGAATTTTTCGAACCTCTGTTATACAGTTTGGAAAAGATTTCTGAACCCTTTTGTTTACTGGTATTTTATTTCTATTCGATTTGATGAATTCAGTTTCAACTATTGCTGTCAATTGTTTCATCATGCTGAGTAGTCTTCCTGCTAGATATAGGTTTTTCAAAGGGATTTATGTGTTGACTGAACTGAATACAGATATGGCTATCATACTGTCTTCGCCATTGTTGAGTTTATTGCTTAGATCGACTTGATCTCTCAATCTCTGATCTTAGATTTATATGTGCATCAAAAGTGTAATAGGTTGTTAGAACGAACTCTGGTGAGCTAATCGTCCTTAGCCTATGAAAGTTGATGCTAAGGCGATTTGTGAACATATCGAACCTGTGCGCATTGCTTGTCATCAACTGCTAGATTCAAACCACAGTTTAGGCATCTAGGTTGCTGGCAAATTTGTTAAGATCGCGACAGCGGATTAACATACTTCCATGTTTGAGAGCCAGCTTGTTCGTACGTTATCTCAAAGGGAAGAAGAAGAGAATGAGCCTGAGGAGGGGCAAAAAACCGGAGAGATACACTTGGGAATCAAGAAGATCTTACAAGAGAAGGCTTGAAGGCAAGCCACTACAAAAACAAGAAGATCCGGGGAAGTTTGTGATCACTTCTAGTATCAATGGCTTTCAACTCCATGATTGCCTATGTGATACTGGTGCTAATGTGAATCTAATGTCTTTTGCACTTGCAAAAGACTTGGGATTTAAGTAATTCAAGAGCCCCAAGATAAGAGTTGAATAATCATGCATGGAGCCTTATGGAGTTTTTGAAGATGTTATGCTGGAAATAGGAGGTCGACTTGTCCCAACCGACTTTCATATCATGCATGGTATGGGAAGGCTCAAAGAGGAATCAACTAATTCTAGGAACCCCATTCCTTGCTATAGCCGGAGCAGTCATCAACTACTTCAAGAACCATCTATTTTTTGGTCATATCCGGCAAGATGTTTTCTTTCAAAGCATCAACTTCAAGTCAGTACCAAGTGCAACCAAACTACCACGAGAAGAAGCCACTCTCATGCATAAGAAAGAAGCCATGCTGCATGGAGGAAGAAAGGAGAGTGAGCACTACCCAAAACCAAAGGAGAAGAAGAAATCATTGGAGCTGAAGCACAAAGATGTCTTCAAGGATATCAATTCAATTCTACTTCCAGCCTTTGACGAATATGGAGCTGAAGAGGAGCCTGATGGTGTATCTAATCTCTATCACCAGACAAGAATCTTTACCTCAAGAGATTCGGAGCTTAAAGATGACCGGCCCATTAAGGAGAAGTTAGAGAGAACGATGAAGCTTTTCCCCAAAACATTGGTTTTCAAGGACGATATGAGAGATGATCTTGGCGTGGCCAAACCACCACAAGAGCCCCCTGAACAAGAGAATGGAGAAGCTAAAGGGATCCTAAACCCTTCAGCCACTCTTCCCCACGCCTAAAAAGAAAAAGGAGTCAAGCTACATGACTTAAAACAAAGAGCTTTATGGGAGGCAACCCATATGATTTTTAACTATCTATTTCAATTTTGCAGGAGTTTTTCAAAAATCATACAAAAACACAAAAATATTTTCTTAGGATGAAGACCCAAAAGGAGACCACATCATGAAAATGTCCCACCCAAAAAGCCCACCCTTGTACACGGCGATTCTTCTTCATAAGGTAAGCAAATTGTCATCTAGTATTCATTCATAACCACTCCTGATCTTCACATGATAATCATTTGAACCATTACACTTTGTCACATATATTTCATGGTTTCAATCAATTTACATTTTGATGGTTAATGAATGAAATACATCTTCACTTGTCAAACTCTTATCATGCACTAAATTCACATAGATTGAACTATAATTTGAAGTTTGGGATCACTAACCAAGACCCAAAAAGAGTTTATAGTTTATACATTACTCTCTTGGATTGTGAATTTCAAGTTGGTCACAGGAGGATCTCAATCTAAGAAACCATCTAATAGTGATTTCAAGTGTTTGGCAAGGAGTTAGCTATTTGACAGGAAGGAGGCATGGAGAATAGCTGTAACCAACCTAAAACCATCATTCATATGGCGGACAAAGGAATGTTTAAAGGAGATTCATAGGCCATTACAAGAAACAAGGTGATTACCACTTGGGAATGACAAAGGAGGGCTAGAAAAAAAATTCGGTAGAAGAAAAAGTCAATTGGCCCGAACGGATTTGAAGAAATTCAATCTGGCATATTTCTCTCGGCCTTGACGCGTACAAGGAGAAAAAATCTCGGCCAACTCCTAAACGGCGTGTGCAAAGTCCACCACACTTCACAGGCGACCATGAAATCCCATTTTGGTCGGAAAATCCAAACTATAGGACGGATAAATCATCACAGTTCAAGAGATAGACCACAGGAGCCACATCCGGCCGATAACGGGCAAGCACAATGGCCGACAAATCAAATCACGGCATAGACGCGACCACCGGTTGGAAACTACTTCCTGGAGATTAAATAACACATTTATGCAGGAAGTCTCAATCCACTCGTTCAAATGCTCTCAAACTTCACCAGAGGCCATGAAATACCAGGTTGGTCGATGAAATTTCAATATAGGTCATGAAATTCTTAATAGTTTGTTTTGTAGTTCACTGACGATAAGATTTGTGTGTGTGATGTGATAATATGAATGAAATGAGGTGGAATGCAACAGTGGTAAATGATGGGATGGTATGGTGCAAACACAATCACAATCAATCAATTCCCTTAACCATCATAGTCATTAGTATAAGGGGTTATCAATCCAAAAGGGTGAAATTGCTCTATGAGAATATGCAATCACAAGAAAGTCAAGCAGCAGTAAATAGATTTGGTAACACTAACAACCTAATGAAATGAAATGCAATGCAAAAGTAAAAGAAAGCAGTAAAGCAAGCAGCTCGACCAAGGACTCGAGTCGAGTGGGAACAGAGTAACCAAGCTCGATCGAGTTGAGGGTCGAGTTAGCGTAAAAAGCGATAAAGGCAGAACTTTAACAAGCTAATGCGAATATTAGGGTCTAAGACAGGGTCTTACAATCAGGGAAGCTATACTTAATCAATCTTGCTCTTAAACAACTTGTATCAAGGTATCTCTTGATATTGAGCTTCTCAATGCCTAGCTAACCCTTTCCCAAGGTGAAAGCTATCAACCAAGGAAGATCTCAGAAACAGGGGGTTAGCCAGTGAGAATCAAGCCTTGGAGGCATAGGATCATTGCTCAAACTAATCCATCCAACCCCTATGAACTCCATTTCGAGAGCAAGGTTTATTGGAGCTCTTAGTGGACCTTTTCCAAGCGATTTCCATCACTTCCATGTGGAAAATCGCCTATGACATACAAGCCAGGGGTAGTGGTCATGTAGCCTTAAGTTTATCCAAAAGAGAGAGATTTCTAGATTAAGAACATAAGCAAGAGATTAAGCATAAATCCCCTAATCTAGCCCATCTCAAACCCTAAAGGAAACTACTCACTACACATGAATGTAAACACAATCAAATGCAATGAAAGACATCAATGAAAGAGGAGATGAAATAAACAACTTTTATTGAAATAAGCAAGTGCAAATACAAAGAAATAACCAGATCTAAGGTTCAAGAGCAAGAGCTCAAGAACACAAAGAGAGGATTAGGGTTGCTAAAAAGTAAAGACAAAATTAAAGAAAAGCTAAAACAAAAATAAGCTAAAGATTGTTGTTTTTCGTGGCTTAGAGCCTTTAAATACAAGAGATTAGGTTTAGGGTCAAAGGGAAGTCAAGGGGGAAGCAACATTTTTCGGGTTTGACTGTTGACTTCTCAGCTCGATCGAGTTGAAGCTTGGCCGGTCGAGTTGAGGAACTCGACCGGATGGTCGAGTAGATGGTCGAGCTGGTCTTCAAGATGACTTCCTCCTTCTTCCTTTGCATCCAGTTGAGCTGCGTCCATGCGCCAAGTCCTTCCTTGCTCCTCATGTCCCAAATGCTCCAAAGTGCTCCAAAGGCAACCAAACATGCATAAGAAGGGAAAAGGAACAAGATATGATGCTAATGGATGCTAAAACTATGCAAAAGATGCATAAAAGATGTACTAAAACTATGTAAAATGCAAGTACATCAACACCCCCAAACTTGACCTTTGCTTGCCCTCAAGCAAACAAATAGAACAAGAAAGAGATGAGGTTTGAAAACAAGTTGATTCAACACTTAAAAACATGTCCTCAAAAGCGATTTGCTAAATGTCCAACTTAGAGATTCTAGAATGCAACAAGGTGAGAGATATTCATTAAGATTTAACCATGCTTATCAACATCAATCCCACTTCACAGTCACTCAAACAATGCATTCAAATCAGCAAATCCCTTTAACATTTATTAAGAAAACAGTGAACCAAAAACATGCAAGATCAATCAACTCATTTGGTTTCAAGGGTTTATGGGTTAAGAGACAAAGAGGGTCTCTTTTGTATGGTGGTTTAGTAACAGGGATCTCTCAAGAAAGTGGCTTTGCTTTGGCAGAAGGCTAAGTGTTAGAACCAAAGATGATGCAAGAACAGCAGCTCGAGCCACCTAATCCTAACTCGATCGAGTTCAACACTTAGAGCTTTTTAGAAAAATCCTAACTACCCTTTTTGGCATTTCGCCTTTGAAACAGAGGAGCTTTGCTCACTTTTCTTTTAAGAACACCTAGGGAGAGGCTTCTTGAGGTAACATCTAGCGGTTTGGGATTTTCTAAACACTTAGGGAACTTTTTCTTTCTTTTTGACACTTGAGGCTTTGCCTTCTTTTCTTTCTACTTAGAACCCTTTTTTTCTTTTTTAACTTCCCAAACCTTTACTAGACCCTTTTTAACACTGCCAACTCCCTGGACTTAACTAAACTCTTTTCTTTTGGATTTTCCCAACTTTTACCACTTTTCTGGTTTTGACACCCAACTCGATCGAGCTCGAGTTGGCACCCCCAAACTTAGCCTGAAAACAATCCCAAGAGAACTAGACAACTAGAACTACTGCTCCTGCCGGTTTAAACACAACACCTTATGCTAAGCAAAGCCAAGAAAGGTTCTCAAATTCGCACAAGAGATAATATGGGGTTTGAAATGAAAAGGCTTAGGTTTAAGGTGTGGTAACTGTCTCAAAGATGGAGATCAGCTATCTGGACAAGCAAGAGGGATATGAAATAGGTAAAGAATGTCCAGATATGTATGTGGTAGCCATGAGTTGAAATCAAATGCAAGCATTGGTAATTAAAGATCAAGTTATGGTTCAAATAGATAGGGAAATGCATCAAATCACAGCAATGGTTGAATGAGATGTGCATGCAGTGATATGATCAAGATAAACATGGTTCTTGTTGCTCAATCAATCTCACCCTAATGCACAAAAGAATCTAAAAATAGGGCACTCAAGAAATCGCAAATGATGAACAAGTTTTCAAAGATCAAATCAACAATGCACAACTAAAACAGAGATGAATGATGCAATCCTAAACAATTCTAACAAATATGAATGCAAAAAGATGAAAATATTTTTGGATTTTTTGAAAATTTTATGATTTTTTTGGTTTTTCTATGCAAATAAAGATGAAAAACTAAGAACAAAGAAAACAAGGTTAAATCATCTCTTGAACCCTCCCCCAAACTTAAATCACACAGTCCCTTGTGTGAGAGAAATTCATTGAAGATTCAAGAGGCAAAAACCAAGAAAAAAGAAAAATGCAAGAAAATATGAAATGGTATTACAAGGGTTGTGGTGTTTGATACCTCAGTGCCCCCCAAAGAACTGGGAGGCAAGGTCGTGGTCTGGAGAGGGCAAGCGGCCATCAGGAGCACTCCATTCGACCATGTCCATGCAGCTCGATCGAGCTTGCGGTTCTCTTCTTCTTCCTCGAAGCGTGTGTGGCTCCTTGGCCTTGGTGGAGCTTGGCTAGCTCGAACTGACCGTATGGGTTCCATCGGCTCTGGGATAGTCCTGGTAGGTCCTGGATCGTATCGAATCCAGGTTCTGAATAATGGCTCCTCCAGGTCAACTCGACCATCAGCTCGACCGAGTTGAGTTTCCTCTGTTTGGACTCGATCGAGTCCAGTGGTCGAGTTGGAGCGTCGGGCTCTGGAACTCTTCCTCCTCTCTGCGTGTTGTCTCCTTCTTCCCTTGGTTCAAATGAGAGGCTTGTGAGGCTCTTGGGCAGGGAGTCTCCTTGGCGTGGTGAGAAGGGATCGACTCCTAGGAAATGTAGAAGCTATGGGTGTCTTCTTCTTCTTGGATGAAGAACCAGAGACCTTCTTCTCCAAACTCTTAATCTTGCTCACCATTTTGTCCATGGACTTTTGCATTTTCTCATGGCCTTCCCTTGCCACTTGTTGAACTTTTGGAGAAGTCCAATCCTCTTGTGAGCAGCCACAACAGAGGGGTTCATCCTTGGAGCCTCATACTCCTCAAAGTAGTAGCAATCAGGCTCACCCAAATCCTCATTCACTTGGGCTCGGGCCTGAGCTCAAGCCTTAACACGATCGAGTTCAGGGTCCTCTTCTCGCAAATCATCTTCATGCCCAACTAACGTGTACAATGGGGGTCTTAAGTCAATGTTCTCACCCCTGATGACTGTGGTGAGTTCAGGGTTGGGCAGAACCAGCTTGGAAGGGCCAGCTGTGGGGTGTGTGAACTTGAATTGGTATTTCTCATCCACTTCCTTGTGATCAATAAGGAGGTTGGTTTTGCAGAACTTGATGTCCATCCAACCAGCTGGAGTTGCCTTCTTCTTGTTTAGCTGGACACCAGCTGCGCAGAGGATAGGAGCCTGAGGTTGCCTGCGTGTGCTCTATCTCCTCTGAGCTTCTTCCCATCCCTTGTGCGTGAGATGATGGGCTTAATCCCCATGTCAAGGAGTTTGACTTCTCCTTCATTGATTGTCCCTGTTGCTTTCCTTGCAAAGAAGGTGTTGGCAAGGGCTTTGTGCACATATCTCAGCACAGGACTCCTAATCTGAGCAGCCTTGGACCTTGAGGAAGAGTACTCTCCTTCAGCAATTATAGCCCAAACACTTTGGAGCTCATTCTCCTTGATATTCCAATGAGTTTCCTCTCCATATGTGAACCCAAACAGTATCTCAAGCTGCCTAAAGGTGATCATCTTCTTCTCTCCCTTTGACTAGAACGTGATCCATCCCCAACCTTGGTCCAAGTCAGCTCGATCGAGCTCATCATACTCGTGGTACCTCATCGATGTTAGGAACTCACAAGTGAGCTTCTTGTATGACTCCATGCAATGAGAGAAGAACTTGGCCAAGTGCATGTTCTTAAGGACTAGTTCCACATCCTCGAAGATTCCAAGAGACTTCATTGTATCATCATGTGGGTACTTTGTTTCCACAAAGTCCATGGAGAAGAGAGCATTGTAGTGCTCTTGGTACATGGGGAGCTCATCCTCCTCTTCTTGTGGCTCAGCCTCCTCCATGGGCTCATCTTGGTTACTCTCATGCCCACTTTCATCAACCTCTTGATTGACCTCCTCTCCTTCTTCTTCACTTTCAGACTCATCACTCTCTTCTCTTCCAATGTTTACCCCAATCTCAAACTCTCCTTGCTCGCTCTCACTACTAATGGGGTCATTCCTCTTCTTGGTCCTCCTCTCTTCCCTCAATCTCTCGCTCTCAGACTCCAATTCAGAGTAAACATATCCCTTTGCATCAGAAACTTCAATCCTTTGATTCATCCCTTCCAAATCGGCTTGCAACTTTAGCCTCCTTTCCATTGCATTGTTTGATTCACCCTCAACCATTCTCCATTGCGAAGCACGGCTTCCCTCACTGCTTGTCATCCTTGTTACGCTGATTTTCTCAACTAAGGTTCCTGAAATTCATCAAAAACCCAAAGAGTTAGAGTTGTAATGATCGATTCGGTCAACTCGACACCCAACTCGATCGAGTCAAAAAACTCGAGTGACAAACTCGATCGAGCTAGGTGAAACAGAGTAAAACCGAATCTTAATCAAGTATTAAGAGCTGGAAAGGATGCTAAACAAACAAATCGAACCAATAACATCAAGTAATTGGAACAATGAGCAATTCTAGTGAAGATTAAAGCATCCTAGCCAATTACCAATTTCAAACTCAAGGTTTTAAGCACATGTAACAATTTTAATGGCAAAACAGAGGTGAGGTGAGGCAAGTTCAAAATTCTATAAGCAGCAGATAAATGTGAGAGCAAATACTCAAGAACAAGTCCACAAGGGACACATGCAATCAAAATTCAAGAGAACACATGCAATAAAGAGGAATCGAACTTAAGGATTTTGGGGGTTTAGGGTTTATTCCTTGATTGGATGATGATCGAGTTATGGGGAAGAGGGAGTGTTTTAGATGAGTGATGAGGATTAAAAGAGGGTTTAAAGAGGGGGCAAAATCTAGGGGTTTTTCTGATCGATTTAGGAAAGTGGGGGACCAAAATTTACATGTGAGACCCACCCCCTTGACCAAAGAAACGGTTAGAAATTTGAAATTCAAAAATTTACCTTGGTCGAGTTGTGGAGCTCGATAGAGTTACCTTTGTTTCTAGCTCGATCGAGCTGGCGGTCGAGCTGGCTTCTTGTCACCTAAACTTAATCTTCCCGAAACGTTAAGACAGAAAATACTAGAAGGAAATTGCAATAAAGAATATGTACAAGGATAGTCATGGGACTTCCTCCCAAGTGAGCTTGTTTTAGGTCCCATAGCTTGACCTTTACCTCTTAGGCATTGGTTGAGCTAGTCCTACAAAACTAGTATTTGGTGAGCAATAGATCATAGCCAACGAAAGCTGAGTTATGGTTTATTGTGAACAATTGAATCTTGATCATCTTTAATGCATGTTTGCAATTCTAATAGCCAACGAAAGCTGAGTATATTAGGTTGTTTTAAACATAGTGGTTGGAGCCACGACAGTGGAAAGACCATACACTAGTGATTCATGTTCAAGACGGCTCTACACACATCCCATGCAACTATCTTTTCATCATTGCTCCATATGATTGTCCTTTGCCTAACTCTTGTTTTAAATTGCTTACAACCTTACTTACATTTCTTTTGTTTCACTTTCTCATTCTAGGTCCCAAAACCATCTCATATTGCGAGCTAGCTTAAGACCAATCTCACAAGGTGTTAAGTGAGAACACTTCCTCCTCGTGTTCGACCCCGACTACAACACGGCTGTGCACTTGCAGCTCATTAGTTGGGTTTATAAATTGTGAAAATTTGAGGCAATCTAAACCCGCCATCACCGGGGTTAGGAAGCAACATCCGCGAGCCGCCATTCTGAATGTGAACGAACTGCTAGAGAAGCGGTCCATCGGCAGGTGTCTTCTGTAAGAAGCTGGAGTTCTTCAAATAGTCGAGGTCGAGCTCCTCGGGTGGTGCGACATCCTCCGTCATATCAGGTGCAAAACCCACAGCGAATAGGAGAGGTGTGATGAGACCGCCCATTTGCAACTCAGACTTGTGACGAATGCCTCTGTGTCTGGTCGCCCAGCTCTGGTAAGATTGAAGCTGGTCGACAACCGCGCAAGTGACACCTCCATGTGCTCTGCTTCCTCTGAGCTGTGTCCCGTTGTTCAACCTTAGTTGGATGCCTGTGAGTGCCACGGCGATCATGCTCATCTCGTTCTCGGTGATATTCATGGTCGCATGCCTCGAGACGAGTATGTTGGCGATGGCTGTGTAGAAGTAACGGATCGGTGGGGTCCGGATGTGGGAAGACTTCGCCGTTGAGGAGAGGTAGTCCCCAAAAGCGATCGTCCCCCACAAAGTTGTCATCTGGTCTCTGTCGACATCAAGCCCGTGGCGGTTGCTTGGAGGGAGACACAGCGCTCGATCGATCTGTCTGAAGGAGAGGTGCTGTCTCCTACCAGTAGCCCAAAAGCAGATGTAGCCGTCGCTACCATCAGTCGTGTATTTGCCGGCGGCGCAGAGATGGACATCGAGGGTGGCGAGTAAAAGGCATGATGCCTTCCGGTATGACTCGTGCCGCTTGTACATGAATGCTCCGATCCCGAGATTGTTGAACATCTCGTCGACATCGTCTGCGATGCAGAGCTTCTCTATCGTGTCTCGGTCTGCGTACTTCGACCCTCCAAACTTCATGTCGAGAAAGGTTCGGAGGAGTTTCATCTCTGCGTCCGTCGTCGTGTCAACGGAACGTCGTCTCGCGTGGGCTCGGGAAACGGAGCATCCTCCATCGTCTCATCCTCCTCAAAGTCGTCATCGGACTTGACGTGCCTCTTTCCTCGTGATATGTCCTCACGCCGGCGTGAGTGTGCGTCACCGCCTCTGTTCCTGAAAGTCAACATAGAGAAAACAGAGTAAGTATAAAGACAAGCAAGGCACGAGTCGATCGGATTCCCTTTCCAAATCGATCGACTCCCTTCCGGACACATAATTTGATCGACTTCTTGACAAATTTGAAACAAACAGCATACACGATCGATTCAGTACACAAGCTCACATTAGGAACAGTCAATCAAACTCGATTTTAGCTCAAGAACAAACAACTAAAAACCCAGAAAATATCGTTTAGCTCAGTCAAACAGCGACTCTATTCGATCGACCTCATCTCCGAACACACGCAAAAACACATAAACACAGTGAAATCGATAGAGTGAGCAAGCGAGCAATCGTGCTCGGTCAAGTTAAGCACAAGCATTGAGGGTCGATCGAATGACAGAAACAGAAGTTGGGTTCGTTTTCATACCTTCCACTTCTCATTGTAAGCATTACGGTGAAGATACGAGGAAGATAAACAAAATCGAAAGCCGATCGAGTGGGTTTGTGTGGTGATGCGATCGAGTGACAGTTGTTTTGTGTGATTAGTTGATCACTTGACAGTGGTTTTGTGTGATGGTGAAGAGATAAAGATAAGAGAGAGACCGTGTTGGTCGGGTATGTGAGAAAGTGGTGGACGAGCGAGAGATGAGAGAAGAAGAAGATGAAGATAAAATGAAAGGGTGAAATGGTTGGTGGTGGACGAGAGAGAGAAGAAGAAGATAGAGGGAATATGAGTGCTGAGAGAGTGGGTTTTTTCACTTATCACTTACCTGACCACTTACCTGGTGGAGGGCCCCAACAGGCCGACGGGCAGGTGGGCGGTTCGACGGGACGGGCGGGTCGACCTGATCTTTCCTGATTTTTTTTTTTTTTTTTTTCAAAACAAAGAAAACAGAATTAGCTGGAAATCAAATTGAAAAGAGCAGGAGATCAATGATTCCTCCCTTCACATGAATGATTGCACCAGCTGTGCATAGGAAGTTTCGCCTTAATATCAGTGCATCTTTAGGCTCTTCGTCGAGCTCGAGGACCACAAATTATGCTGGGATGAGTGTGTTCACTATCTGCACATGGAGATCCTCAAGTATACCAACTGGGAACTTAGTCGATCTGTCAGCGAAAACCAAAGAGACTTTGATGGGTTTGAACTTGGTGTATCCCAATCGCTTGGCTACAGAATATGGCATCAAGTTCACACTCGAGCCAAGATCACAAAGAGAGCACGCGAAGATCATGTGACCAATCTGCACTGACAAGACAAATCTTCCTGGATCGCTCCTCTTCTTTATCACCTTGTTTTGCAGCACAGCGCTACACTCCTCTGACACTAGCATGACATTTTCCTCCTTAGCTACTTTCCCAGATATCAGCTCCTTCATGTACTTCTTCAATGCAGGAATCATCTGAATAGCATCAGACAGAGGCATGGTGCACACAGCCTCGTATTTCCCATTCAGATCGTTGTACATGGTGTCTATCTTCAAGTGTGTCTCCGCAGTGGACTTCTGCTGGTTCATCAACATCTGCTGCATCATACCCTTAAGCTCATCGTTCGAGTTGTTCGATGAACTTGAAGGTTGTTGCTGTTGCTGAACTGCGCCTTCTGTTGGTTACCACCTTGAGAACGGTTCTGGTTTGGGGCAAAGTCTTCTCCTGGAAGCTGTTGGGGTAGCTCTTCTGATAACTCTGCTGGTTCTGGTTCGATCGAGGCGGATAGACCTGATCCTGAGGGTTCTCGACGTTGGTGCTCCTGTAGGACATGTTCGGATGGTTCTGTAGTTCGAGTTGAAACCACGGTTCTGCACAAAAGCTTGCCCATTCACATAGTTAACCTCCATCTGATCATCTTCATCCTCTTCTCCTCCAAACTCTTGAGAGATAGGTGTATCATCATTTTCGTCAACAAAATGAACAGACTTCTGCTGCGCCTTCATCAAGTAGATTCACCTTGGCCGTGAGTTCCTCAATCTTCTTCGCTTCAGCGCCGCTTCCTTTGACTGATACAGTGCTCAGTACTCAGCGTTCTTGTTGCTCGAGCTCGCTGCAAGATTCTCGATCAGCTCGAATGCACCTTCTTTGGACTTCGTCATGAAATCGCCATTGCTGGCTGCGTTCAAAGCGTTCTTGTAGTCCCAGTTGACTCCATCATAGAAGATGCTCAGGATTTGCTCGTCAGAGTATCCGTGATGAGGGCACTCTCTTCGGTACTCCTTGTATCTCTCCCATGCTTCGCAGAAAGCTTCTCCATCATGCTGGAAAGATGCGATCTTGGTCCTCAGAGCTGCATTCTTGGACTTCGTGTAGAAGTGGTCCAGAAAGCGCTCTAACTTGGTCCCATGAAGTCAAAGACCCAGGTGGTAATGACTTCAGCCAGCGAGATGCTTTGTTGGCAAGTGAGAATGGGAATAGCTTGCACTTCAGAAAGTCAGCCGGTACTCCATTCGAACCAGTCGTGCTGCATATCTCCTCAAAGTTCTGGATGTGTCCCGGAATCTCAGCAGGTAGTCCATGGAAGATGTGATCCTTGACTAGAGCGATCATGCCGGCTTGATCTCAAAGTCTTGCCTCTGAACGTTTGGAGGGACAATCGCAGACCGGTTTTGATAGAAAGTATGCGGGTTGTCCTTCCGCATTTGCTCTATTGGCGCGCACAACGAAAGATCTCCGAATCCACACGTTCAAATCACCTCAAACTTCACAAGGGGCCACAAAATATAAGGTTGGTCGATGAAGTTTCATTTCAGTACGATGAATCCCTTAAAATTCAAGAGATGGCCGATGGAGTGAAATTTGGCCGATCGCGAGCAAGTAAAATGGCCGACAACTAAATCACGGCATTTACCGCGGCCACCGGCTCAAATCACCTCAATCAAGCATCAACATCGCATCTAAAGAAGAAAATCCGGATTGGAACGAGCAGAATTGGAGAAGGCCGAAGGAAGACGTTCCCGGAGCCAATTTGAATGTTTTTCAAAGGAGATCTCAAACCACTCGTTCAAACGACCCCATACCTCACCAGTCACCATATTATACAATATTGGTCGACGGAATTTCAAGATAGGTCGAGGAAATCTTCACGGTTCGAGCTGTAGTCCATACCATCACCATCCGGTCGACCAAAACGGACGAATCTCGGCCAAAACAGCGAAAACCAGAATACCAAGGGAGAATTGTCACATTCATCCAACCAAATCCAATATCTATGATGTTTGCACCAGTCAGTTCATTCCTGGAAGCAACCAAAAGCGCACAACCGATCTTCACATCAAAGGCCAAAAATTTGGGTACAATTTTCTACAAACTCTAACTTTTCCATTCTTATTTATCATTACCTCTCTTAATTGGATTTTTCTTACACCGAGACGGTGCAAGTTAAGTCTGGGGGGATTACTAACAAGTTTGTTCTTTTTGAATTTCATTGAGTCGTTTTATTGAGTCAAAATTTTGTCAAAGGATTATGACCTTATCTTGGATCTAACCATTGTTGTGCTAACGTTTAAGTGACCATTGAAGCAGTCTTGGCAATACATCTTACCACAGGGACACTATGAGTTGATCGATCTACCAAAAACGCCCACACCTCCAAGGACTTGAGAAGGATCCACTCTTGACTCCGCCCTTAATGAACTTAATCTTCTCAGCTAGGGGCTTGGCATACAAATGGCATGATTCCTCATCCTCTCCATCAAATGAAAAAGTCTTAGTGAGTTCGTGCTTCCCTCTCTCTCCCCTTCAAATTTAAAGAAAAAGCGTAAGGTCCAAGTAACCGGGGATTCGGTGGCAAACACCATCAATACTCGCGTCTATGGAAGGCCTATGAATCCAAGCAACCGGGGATTCGGTGGCAAACACCATCAATACTCGCGTCTGTGGAAGATCCAAGCAAAACCTCTATAATAAAGAGAAGGAGTTGAATAAAAAATACTTCGCTACCCTAAAAAAGGGATGAGTCAACTCAAAGAAGTGAGAAGAGAGAGAGGAGAAACATGGAGTAAAAAGACAAGTGCCAAAACAAGGGGATGAGTAAGAGTCTAAAGCCGGCTGATCGATACTCCCTAGTTGAGACCACACCTTTAGAAATGAAAGGAGTCAAGGTGGGTGAATTGGATTGTCCAAAGAGAGGTGGGCCGCCTTGGAAAAATCGCAAAACTCATGGTATGTACTCTTGTTCTTAATTCAAATATTTGCCTCTACTACTTTCATGTGGATTACTAAAACCAAGCCAACCCGGATTTCCTAATGATTTGAGAGTTCTTGCGTTTTCAAACCTCTCTTCCTCTCTTAGTTTGCTTGGGGACAAGCAAAAGGCTAAGTCTGGGGGAGTTGATATATCCATATCTTTCATGTTTTTACCAAGGTTTTCACTATGTTTTCATACAAATAATGTGGTTTTTAAGCCCAAGAGGTAGTTTTCTTGTATATTCTGGTTTTGAGCATCATTCAGGTCAAAATAGCAAAGAAGAGTCCAAAATGGAGAAAAAAGAGTCAAATCACCAAGTTCCCAAGTCTAGAGCACCAAAATACATTTCTCGCTAAAGACCAAACCGGAGCATCCGAAGTACGACCGCATGTTCATGCCTTCCCGACGTCCAAAAGTCATGATTCTTATATGGAAAGATAGATATTTTAGTCGTGACCCGCGGCGAAGTGGAAAGAGGTCATTTGGATCACTCGTTAGAGCGGAACTTATTTTCTACCAAGACATGTCCGACGAGCGCCTAAGTAGAACCCATGGAGACTTTGATGGATCAAGAGGCCCGGGATACCGCGCCCAAGGCCTTGGCTCATCTACCGGTTGGTCGAGTAGATGGTCGAGCTGGTCTTCAAGATGGCTTCCTCCTTCTTCCTTTGCGTATCCGGTTGAGCTGCGTCCATGCATCAAGTCCTTTCATGCTCCTCACGTCCCATATGCTCCAGAATGTTCCAAAAGACCTATTTCAAAGGACCAAACATGCATATGTATGCAAATGCAACCTAAAACTACTATGAATGCAAAAGAAGAGAAAAGGAACAAGATATGATGCTAATGGATGCTAAAACTATGCAAAAGATGCATAAAAGATGTACTAAAACCATGCAAAATGCAAGTACATCATCAATCCCATTGTAAAAGATGTTCCAAAGGTTACTTTATGAAAAGCCATGATTAGGGCAGCTCCTAGTATACTCCTTGAATCTCTCCAAAGCTGCATAGAAAGACTCCATTCATGCTTGCTTAAAACCAGAAATCTTGCTCTTTATAGAGTTGGATCTTTGCTTGGTGTAGAATTGGTTTAAGAAAGCCCCTTGTATTCATTCCATGTTGTAATGGACTGAGGTGGTAGAGACTTGACCCATCTAAGCGCCTTGTCACTTAGAGAAAAAGTAAACAACTTGCACTTGAAGTAATCCGGTGACACTCCATTGATGAGAGTTGTGCTGCATATCTTCTCAAAGGTGTCACATGATCAAGAGGTTGCGGAATTGGTTTAGTGGGCAAACCATGGAATTGGTTTTGCTTCACCAAGGCAATGATCTGCGGCTTGATCTCAAAGTCGTTCCTTGGGGTAGAGGTGGTCGGATGGGATTCCGATCCATAAGAAAGCATCGGAAGAATCAAAATCTCCCATAGTTTGGTGCCTTGGATGATGCGCGAATGGTGCTCTCCTTGAGGCACTTGAGGTTGAGCTTGAGGCATCCCTTGATGGTCACCGTGATGATGATGGTGTCCATTATTTTGGAACACCAGGTTGCGGTTGTGGTTGATTATGAGGTGGCTGCGGCTGCTCGGCTGCACCGGGAGCGTTTGGATTGGGTTGAGGGCGCTCCGGCTGGTGCTGGCTGGCAATTCCAACTTGTGGTATAGGAGGGTTATCAGCCCTCTCTTCTTGGTCAGGCGGCTGCTGCTGCCTATTTGGTGGCTTCTCCGCCTTGATTCATTATTTCTCTTCTTAGTCGCCTAAGTGTTCTTTCAAGCTGGTCAATGTCAAGATCTTCTTCTATTGAGTTGTTTGGATTGGACCTTCTTGTCATACACCTAAAAGAACACACAAAGAGAGAGTTAAGTAAAAAATTTATGAGTTTTTATGATTTATGGAAAACAAAAACAAAGAAAGCAAAGAAATAAGATGACTAGTCTTGAAATCAATCAAGAGGTGTGAAGGAAAAGCTACTCCTCCCCGGCAACGGCGCCAGAAAAGCTTGATGCGGGTTAAGATTGCCTCAAATTTTCACAATTTTTAAACCCAACTNTCATTGTACTTGAGATTGATGAAGAGCCAAGAGACCCTCTGATTCAAGGAAGACATTTCCTAACCACAGCAGGAGCAATGACAGATGTATGTGAAGGTACAATAGAGTTGAACCTTGGGAAGGATTTCAAAATGAAGTTTGACATCAAGGATACAATGAGGAAACCCACAATAGAAGGTCAACTCTTTTACATTGAAGAGATGGATCAGTTACCAGATGAGCTTCAGGAGGAACTTCCTTTGGAAGATCACTTGCAAATAGCTCTAACCAAGGATCAATCTGAAGGGTACTTACACATAGAAACTGAGGAGTATTCGAGGATGCTCGATGCATACAACTCGATCCCGAGTTCGTTTTGCACTGAGGAGCTAGATGAGACAGCCTTTGAGGTTCTGGCAGTGAACTCGACCAAGGACTTTATCGAGTCAAGTCCGGGATGTTCTAACTCGGTCGAGCCTAGCGTCAAATGCAAGGAAAAGATTTCTGGAGACTGGTATGAGCTCAAGGCACCAAAAATCGATCTTAAACATTTATCTAAGGGCTTCAGGTATGTGTTTCTGGGTGAGAACTCCACCTCTTCTGTGATAGTTAACTCTGAATTGAAACCTGAACATTTGGATGCATTACTTGCTGAGTTGAGAAAATACAGGAAAGCCATTGGTTACAGACTTGATGATATCAAAGGCATTTCATCTGATTTGTGCATTCATAGGATTCATTTAGATGATGAGACTAAGTCAGCATAGAACCTCAAAGGAGATTGAACCCAAATCTGAAGAAAGTAGTGAAGAAAGAGATACTCAAGCTGCTTGATGCTGGGATAATCTATCCCATTAGTGATAGCACTTGGATATCTCCTGCTTACTGCGTCCCTAAGAAGGGAGGAATCATTGTCATCAAAAATTACAAAGAGGAGCTGATTCCCACTATAAAAGTAGTGGGACATTGCATGTGTATATACTATAGGAAGTTAAATGCTGCATCTAGAAATGACCATTTTCCCCTTCCTTTTATCGATCTGATGTTGGAAAGGCTAGTCAATCACCACTTTTACTGTTTTTTTTATAGTTACAGTGGCTTCTTTCAGATCCTGATCCACCCTAATGATCACGAGAAGACCACTTTCACATGCCAATTTGGTATCTTTGCTTATCGAAAGATGCAATTTGGGTTGTGCAATGCCCCATCTACTTTCCAGCGAAATATGACCTCCATTTTTTCAGATCTGATAGATGAGATGGTAGAAGTCTTCATGGACGATTTCTCTGTCTATGGAGCATCCTTCTCCTCATGTTTGCTCAATTTGTGCAGGGTCTTGCAGAGGTGTGAAGAGACGAACCTGGTACTCAACTAGGAAAAGTGTCATTTTATGGTTCATGAAGGGATTGTTTTGGGTCACAAGATTTGTGAGAAAGGGATTGAACTCGACCGAGCTAAGGTTGATGTGATGTTGCAGCTGCTTGCGCCCAAGACAGTGAAGGATATCAGGAGTTTTTTTGGTCATGCAGGGTTTTACAAAAGATTCATTAAGGATTTCTCCAAGATAGCCAGACCTTTGACAAGGCTTCTTTGCAAGGATATTGCTTTTGAGTTTGATGAAGAGTGCCTCAAGTCCTGGACTTTGCTGAAGGATACTCTGGTTTCTGATCCAATTGTTCAAGCTCCTAACTGGGATTACCCCTTTGAGACTATGTGTGATGCCCCAGATTATGCAGTTGGAGCTGTACTTGGCCAGAAGATTGACAAGAAGGTGAATGTCATCTGCTATGCCAGCAAGACTATGGATGATGCTCAAATCAAGTATTCAACCACTGAGAAGGAGCTCCTTGTTGTAGTCTTTGCTTTTGAGAAGTTTCGCAGCTACCACTACAAGAAAAACAGTTGAAAGCCACGAAATAGCTACGATTCTCTCCGTAGCGATGACTCAAAAGCCACGAAATACACACATTTCACAAAATGGTGCGTATTACCCACGAAACGGTATTGTGTGTATTTCATGGCTAATATAGCTACATAGACACGTCCGTGTTTGTAGCAAAAAGCAACTACGTTTAGACACAACCAAAATCGTAGATAGCATAGCCACAAAAACATGTGTACCTAATTTGTATCCAATGCGATCACATTTCCTAGCTATCTGAAGCTACAATTTTGCCGAATAATCATGTCATACAATTCACGTGTTAAATCTTTCTTTGTGAAAGGTATTATATACCCACAACATTTGTTGTGGCTTTTCGTAGCTATAAGTGATTGCCGACGTTAAATCCACATGTCAAAACATTCACCGTGAAAGATATTATAACTCTGTTTCTGATGGTTGTTTGATATTGAGCAGAAATGCCATGGTAAATGTCTTAAATGGGTTCTTTAAAATGTTGTAGAAACTAAGAAAAATGAAATGTAACGGTGTCAGATCTTGTTTGTGATTGGAATGATTATGATTTGCATAGTAAAGTTGCAGACTTTGTTAATAACTCTGTTTTTGATGGTTCTTTGATAATGAGCAGAAATTCCATGTGAAGAAGAAGGATATTGGGAAGTTTCTTGATGGTATCTATGTGAGCAAGAAGGGCAAGATTGCTGTTGAAGAATGAGGCTATTGAAGTGCTACTATATTAGTTTTATATGGTGGAACTGTGAGATTGTAGTAGCTTTTTGTTTACATTCTATCTATATGGTTTGTAGTTCTTGTTTCCGTTGGATCTTTGATGATGCAAACTTATTATCTATGTTTCGGTTTTTAATTTACTCTTTTGCAAAAGATTTTGAAACATCTTCTACATTTTCTCTCTATTTATTATTTGTCTGTTGTTGGGATTTTTGTGTGCTATATGCTATTTGATTGAAGTTTGAAGAATCTCACTTTTTTAGTCTTCAATGTTGGTATGCGACTCTTATTTATGCCTCGCTAAAACCCTTTTTCACCTAATTGCTCCAAATTCTGCGATCAAATGTTACCTTTCAAGTACTACATTAATGTTTCTTAATATAATATAATAGATAAAATTACTCTATAAGAAGAAAATTTCTAAATATTAGTCAGCAATTTTACTTTGATTTTATCTTAATCAAGGGCAAGAGAAAGAAGAGGCAGAGAGCCTTGTAATGAGCACACAAAGAAACCCTAATAAAATCGGAATCAAGAAACGAGCAACGTAAATATGTTTTGTTCCATATATTCATGTGTGTCATGTAATGCGTGTAGAGTTTTAAGTGACATGAAACAATGGTTTAAGACAGTCGATAGAAGCATAAGGGAGTCAATATCTATATTCTATAATCAGCATTCCTTTAATTAGTGTGACAGACAAATATTTTGTCACAATACAACTATTTTCTCTAGAAAAATGTAGCCCATTTATTACCTTCTTTCAATCACAACATGGAAAGAATTGGTAACTTACCTATCTACGTTTGTTTATGCATTTCTATATGTGAGATAAGTAAATTAGTGTTGATAACTTATCTTTAAAGTATTTTTAGCATATCCACAAATAGTTACGATTTAATTTGTGGCTATGTAAAAGGGGATATTTGACATCAAAAATTCATTTCTCGGGTTAAAATGTGAAAAGAGAAAACATTTTCTGGTAAATTTTTGGGGCCAAAATTTATAACCAGGAAAAATGGAACACATACCAACAAAATAGCGACGAAATTATGTTGTGGCTAATGTTTTCAATAAAAAAAAGCTTTAATTTCCCTTCTTCTTTCATTACTCTCAGAGAACGAGTCTCATATGGTCTTACTATAGCAAAATAAATCACATTTGGTCTCATATAATCTGCATAGTCTCCTAAGAAACAAGAATTACAATTCTGCGATTAATGAATCCGACATGGCATTAAAAATTAATTCAGTAAACAAATTAAAATTCAACCAATGAAAATAGAGCACTCAAAATCTTTTAAAAAGAAAAGAAAAAACAAAAAAAATCTACCTTTTTCTCTTTTATGAAATGACGACATCTATTTTTACTGGGCCCACCCACACCATTAAAACAATTTCACTAAAATTCTACTCTCACAATTATATCAACTTCATTAAAGTTTAAGCTCTATATTTGAATTTAAGATTAACGTATAATAATGTTTCACAAAAATTAAACTCGAAAAATCAGAATCTCTGCATACTTCAAATCCAGTTTTAAAAACAAAATAGTTATAAATGATTTTACTTGATTTATTGTATTATATCACATATTAAATATAAATATATATAAAATTAATAATTATAAATATAAAGTACACTAAAAAATAATGACAAAACATAACTTATCATACATTTATCTAATAAAAAGTTTTACTGAAAAAAGTTTTCACAAGAATCAAAAGTTTGTTATATCTACCATGGTTAGTTTGTGTTAATTCAAAGTGGGAAAGTGCTTCCTAGTGTAAATAACTCGTTTAAAATGCTATTTTTCCAAATATAGATCTGGTTTACAACCGAAACTTGTAACAACTTACTGACCTCTCTCTCTCTTCTCTCACTCTTACCTTTCAGAGAGAAAGAGGCTATATCCAGTTTTTTGTTGTAATATATTTCCGATTAGTCGGATTTATCTTTCCGCTTAGACGGATTTCAGTTTCCGACTTGTTCGGATTTTCTTTTGTTTTTCCTCTTCCTTCTCTTCGCTTCGATTTCGATAGCTATTGATTAGTTATTTTCTATCCTTGGTTTATGCCCATTTTCTTTTCAAAGGAGTGTAAATCTTGCTCTTCCTTGGGGCCAATAGATTGGGCTTGGAGTTAAGTTACTCTTGCTGGAAAAAAGATGGGTTGATGATATAATCTCGTTTTTTTTGGAGTTAATCTAGCAGAGCTGTAGCTTTGGGGTTTTCTTCCAAATCTATTGAGTTATATCCTGTTCTTATTAATCTGGGGAGAAGAAGATAAATCAATCAGCTACGTTTTATTAGAAGGAAGTTGCACAGGTATACAACGCCACAAATTGAAGCTCCACGGTGGTTTTGGCGGCGGTTGAAGATTTCCGATGCGAAGTTCAATCGGCGGCGAGGAGATTAATGTTAGAGACGGTGCTTCCTCTAAGGCTGCCACATCATTAGGGTTGTAGTTGTTAAATGATGACATGTGTTGTTGACGTGTTGTATAATCGTATGTTGTTGGGCCTTAGTTAATAAGTGTGCTTGTGTACCAGAAGTTTGCCCGTTGGGCTTAATCAATGAAAATGAAACTGTTTGCTGGCAAAAAAAAAAAAAAAAAAATCTGGTTTACAACCGTCTTTTTTATATGAACGGATAATTCCGGTTTACAGCTTACAATCGGAATAAATTATAATTAAACCGTTAACCAACATAAACCAATGCTAGATATCTAATAGGGTTTGGCTTCTTCTCCGTTCTCACGTCTCCGTCTTCTCTCCATTTTTTCGTTCCAAATTCTCTTCCGATATTTAACTTGGGGACAAAGTAGAGCGAGATGCTAGGTGACAGCTAACACAGTAAAAAAATGTTCTGCAAGTAAAGGAAAGTCACAATTAGTTTCCCTTAGCCGATAAACAAGCTTTATTCAGATCTCTATCAATCTCATCGCCGATCAAAAAAGCAAGACCCAAATCGGCCATGGGAGTTCCAGCGTTCTATAGATGGCTCGCCGACCGTTACCCGAAGTCTATTAGCGACGTCGTTGAAGAAGAACCTACCGATTCGGGCCGTGGTTACGCAATTCCGGTAGATATCACCAGACCTAACCCTAACGGCTTAGAATTTGATAATTTGTATCTCGACATGAACGGTATCATCCATCCTTGTTTCCATCCTGAAGGAAAGGTAAGTTCTTGTCTCTTTATCTGCTTACGGATTTAGCTTGGATATTCACTTGGTTAGAGATTTGAGTCGTATTAGGCTCATGAGTTGAAATGAAATCACTTAAGTATTTTGGTGGACAAGATGATATGCAGTGCCCAGAGTTAGGTTTTTAAAGTTTTTGAGTAGAAAATTAAGACTTTATAATGAATGGGAGTGAGTTTGTGTACCTGTACGATGCTGATGCTTATTTCAGTTTGAAGATTTTAGTAGCTAATTGTATTTTGATTGTTTGATATCAATGCAGCCTGCACCTGCTACATACGACGATGTATTCAAATCAATGTTCGAGTACATTGACCATCTTTTTTCTTTAGTGCGTCCGAGGAAAGTTCTTTATTTGGCTATAGGTGATCTTTGATTCCTTCTTCTCCCCTTTATGTATTTCTTTGTAAGATGGGATCTGAATTAAGTTGATGTTGCAGATGGAGTTGCTCCTAGAGCAAAAATGAATCAGCAGCGTTCTCGGCGTTTCAGAGCTGCGAAGGACGCATCAGAGGCTGTATGTTCTGTGTCTTTTTATTCTATTCTACATTAACTATTGGCTTTGCTCGGGTAACTGTTGCTTATACTCTATTTGGTTGAATAGGAAGCTGAGGAAGAGAGATTGAGACAAGATTTTGAGATTGGGGAGCAAGTCTTATCAGCAAAAGAGAAAGTAGAAACCTCAGATTCGAATGTCATTACTCCTGGAACACCGTTTATGGCTATACTGTCAGTAGCTCTTCAGTATTACATACAATCTAGGTTAAATCACAACCCTGGTTGGAGATTTGTTAAGGTGTGATACCATGACTTAGCCGTTATTTTCTATCTCTGCAAGATTTTTTCCTACACTTGCAGTTCTTATTTTATTAACGTTATTCCTTTAGTTATGGTTTATTGGTTTATATGTTAACTTGTCTCCCTGAGTTTTGATTGATTATTATTTGAAGGTAATTCTTTCTGATTCAAATGTGCCGGGTGAAGGAGAACACAAGATAATGTCATACATTCGTCTCCAACGTAATCTTCCTGGTTTTGATCCAAATACACGTCATTGTCTCTACGGCCTGGTT